GTTGATGTAACTTCATGTTTAAAGTACTTGTTATAATTAGAACGGTTCTGCCAAACTACTGTTAAGTGTTATGAAGTGCAACATAAAACATTTTATAGGTGGTTTTCTTTAAGTTTCCAAAACGTTCCAAGGCAAAACTGTAGCAGTTTGAACAAATGTCTGAGCTGAACTGTTAACTTTTAAAGAAGCACAAGTGCAAATCTTTTTAACAGCGAATGTTATCAAACTGCTCAAGTAATTTCCACTAGGATACTGGTTGCAAATATGATGAACTTAATATCAGCTATTCAACTGTAAAGATTTGAACACGTCATCTCTACTGTTAACTCAAAAATAACTTAAATTTACAAAAAAAATCCTCCTTTATTTCCAAAAAGTTCTAAATCACAAGCTCCTAGCCAACAGAGATGACCATTCATTGCTTCTTTAGAGATAAAATCCACCATGCAGCTATTTCACTTGTCTAACATTCATAGAGGCACTATCAAAGCAATTGGCACCCACTACATCTGAAAGTATCGCCATCATCGTATCTTCATCTTTGGCAGATATAAAATCATCTTTGATAAATCATATGTGCTATCTTTGATAAATAATCATATGTTGATCTCGAATATAAAGACACTGCCAAAACGAATCGTGTAGCAAACGAGCTGGGTGCTGAGACGAATCTGCTGCCAACGAATGAGCAGCTCATGTCGCTGTGAGCTGCCAGAGATCTCGGACTGATCAATCACCGCCCTCTTCCAAAGGCCCCTTACTCACGGCTGTAGGAAGAATAACATTTTCCACAGGCTACTAATAAAACTTTTAGCTTATTGATAGTGATTTAGCTGGACTAAAGCTTTCAGGAAACAACAATTTGAAAATTTCTATTTGTAATTAGGCAAAATTAGACGTACTCCTCCAAAAAATTAATACAATCTAATAAAACGGCACAATAAAGCAACCAACAATATTCAGTGGATATCAAAAAGAATCAAAGTTTCAATTTACAAAATGGCTGCCGTGGTCTCACACCTAGGTTCCGCTGAACTTTGACCCACCTGCAGGACTTTTTGTTGCGCAAGAGCGGCTGGTGGTGGCGCAGGGTGTCCAGAGAGTGGTGCCACTGCCAGCAGGAGGGGCAGTAGTACCGGAAACAGGACATCTCGCGGCAGAAGAACGGACCTGGCTGCGAGTTGCAGGTGTTGCACAGGGAGTCCTCCAGGTACGGGTCCACCTGAACCTGTCAAGCAACCCATTAATCAACTAACCCTCAACCAATCAGACCATTGGATTCTACCACTCACAAATTTTAAATTTCAAATTTGAAACGTCTTCATTCTAAGATTTATAGATTCACACATGAGTGCATCGCCAACAAGCACTTTTTCATTTTTTTTTTGCAAAAATATCTATAGTATGAATGTAAGTACAAAAGGGGGACTACAAGATTATGAAATGATCATAAATTACCAACTTAGCTTGAAAACACAGCATGTGAGTAGGGGTAAGTCTTTCACAAAACTTTCTACATATCTAGAACTGCACTGTTGCGCTGAATGTCAATGGATGGAGTTTCAGCACCTTGAATTTTTGAGTGCACGTTTTCTGTTTCTCTTTGAATATTTTGCCCACTTTGTCAAGTTTAACCCAAAATTGAGGATTATCTATAATTCCACAGTAACACTAGGAAAGTCCTGACCTTTTTGGTGAACTTTGGAGTTTTAATCTCAATGAAAGCTGCCTGGACGGCCTTCATGTAGCTCTTGTGGTTCCCAAAGGTCACTCGGCCTGACCCTGAAAAAAACAAGTTATTTACTTATTTACCAAATTACCACACATTGTGGAAGGCTTGATATAACAGGTGACTATAATCTTTCAAGATGTTTACCCTTAGACCAGACTCTAAGGTTTGAACACACCGGGAAGAACCCTTTTTCGGTGAACCAGAACACTTCAAACTTTTGGTCACTTCTACATTATACATATTCATGACTAGTCTTAGGCTTGTGTTATCTTTCAAATTTTGGCTTGAATTTGATGTGTTGTGGATAATGTTTAGGTACTCATTTTCACCAAGTGAGGATATAAATATGTGTGTGTGTGTGTTTCTGGAGTGTCCTATTCACGGGTACAACACAGTGGCTTAGCAGGGATTCGAACCCAGAACCTTCAGATTCTGAGTAGATCAACAAGAGCCATAACCACAAGACCACCTTGCAAAGAAAGTCTCTTACCAATAGGGTACTTGTGTTTATCAGTATCAATCCCAGCGTACACCACTCCGCCGAACAAGTCGTTCATGATGTTGGCGAGCCTCTCTGCGTTCAGCCTCCCGTGCAGCGCCCCCACGAACACGGTCTTACCAGGATCCAGGCGCTGAGACGGACAGCGCACGTAGTTGCTGTCAGAAGTGACCCACGGTATAATCTCTACCTGTTTATTAATAAGTGGAAAACGGCCATATATCAAGAAATGTAAGCCCATGCCAATTCAATGGATCCTTGGTTGCTTTAAAATTCCAAAAAATCGGATAACGAACAATGGATCCTTTGCATCTGTATGACACCCAAGGTGTACTGCCACTGCCATGACCAGCACAGACGGAAGCCATAGAACAGCTCACAGCCCTCCCCTTAGCTGTAATGTGACAAAAAGGGTTGCGCACATTCATGTATATGGTAACAGAAGTCCAAACCAATCAATCAATCAAACCCATCCTGGTATGTAATTGTAACATGATGTAACCCTACACTAGTTACCACGGAGACAGACGTCTTGTTCAGGTCATTGACCTGATGTGTTTGGCACGGAAGAAGAAGAGGAAACATAGCACAAACAATATGTTTTTCTTTGGTAAACATAATCAAATATCTAAAAGCAGAACTGACCTTCTTGCAGCGCAGGCGTCTGGAGGAGATCTTGTAGAAGAACTCCCCACCGTGGCTGAATTCGTGCGTGCAGGCCTGGAGCAGCGACTTCACCGCCTTGTCCGACTCGAACAGCACGTACACGTAACCTGATTTGGAGGGGCACAGGTTCATATTAAGTCTGTACAGTCTAACCTGCCGATAGTCGCCACTGAAAGGCCAGGATAGAACTCAGGGTTTGACCACCACTCGCCAAGCCCAAGGCTTTAAATGCGGGGCTCCAAGCATTGGTGCAGGCAAGATGTCAAATTGTAAGGGGGCCTACATGCCATTTTCCGTAGAGTATAATCGACCGTTTTAATTCTACGTAGAGCGTACTCCGACCACTCTAATTCAAAGTAGACCGTAATTGGCTCATTTTATGTGGAGCGTAATTCACCGTTTCATTAGACATCATGCATTGTAGCTACCCGGAATGCATTGTAGAGCGTAATCGAGAGGCTTCCTGAATTCAGCGTAAATATGTAGCCGGCTCTCAAAGTTTAGCATAGAGCATTGTCAGGACCCCCCATGCAGGCCCTCTTATAATTGTTGTGATCTAAGTGTAAATAAAAAAAAAACTTATACAAAGTGTATCAAACCCGATAAAGCTGAAAAGTTGGGATAATTTTGAGATCCTCACCTTTTGGCGGGTAGCGCGGGTGTTTGTTGTCCTTTCCCGGCCACTCCACATTGATTGGTCCAAATGGTTTAAAGGCAGCCTGGAGTCCAACTAGGAGGAATGAAACATAAGGACTGAGATTAGCACGGTTCCTATCAACTTGCACTTCGTATGTTAAGTAGAATCATTCCTCCTTATAAGTATATCATACAAATTGGTCTAATGGTCTAAAAATAGTCTGGAGACCAAACTAGGATGAAAGAAATGTTTGGAGTAACGTTGACACAGTTGCTAGGAATTGACACTTTGACTATTTGCAAGGATCATTCCTTCTTATCCTTATGTCCAGCTAGCATTACCAATACAAAATTTGGGTCCATTTTTTGTGGAAACCAGTCCATAGCTTATTGTGAATGTTTTTAGATATCGGCATTGTCCAAGGTACTGAAAGGCATTCCAACAGAACATTTTGTCCCACCAAACTAAGAACAATTGTGACAAGCAATGCCTGTATAATCATGGTTGTGTAAAACCTAGTACAAAAGGTAGAGTGTGACCAACCTTCAGTGATATCCCAGGGGACGCCTCCTAAGAAGACCTTAGGTGAGTAGATGGGACACTTGTGTTGGCGCATGGGCAACTGTCCGCTCCAAGTACAGGTTGGCTCACACATCGCTACATACAACAACAAACACCAATGTTAGAAGCAGTTTTCGAAATGCAGACTGGCGCACTAGCAATTGCAACATTATTTTCTTGTGTGTAGTTTCTCCCTGACTCAGGTAGCGCACCACGCAACCTGAAAATATGTACAGCTAAACTCAAAGGTGCACACTGTGCTACCTGGCTCAAAAAAGTATTTCAAACACTGTGTAAGTTTAAGAAGTCTCCAAAACAAAAACAATCAAGCCTTATTTCCTTTTTCCATGTAACAAGTTAATACTATATAGCTGTAAACTGACATATTCACATAATTTTCTGAGGATTTCTAAGAATATCACTCATCAAACGAGGATGGTGTCTTCTTACCAGCAGCGTTTCGATACATTCTGGCGTCTCGTTCGATTCGGCGATCGTACAAGTGGCTGAATCCTTCCCCGCCTAAAGTGAGGTCAAGACGAGCAATCTTTAATTGTAGAGCCAAAAAAATAATAATTTCATTCAAAGCTAAACCCTTCTCTAAACCCTGCCCGGAAGTAAACATTGCTTGACCAAACTTATGTGGGATATATGGGATTACGAAGTCATGGGTTCGATTCCAGGATGGTACCAGCCGGAAAGAAGTACAGAGATGGATCGCTATGGCGACGGCAGCAATGGATCGTCTGGATAAGACCCGGAAATCCAACAACATCAGCTTTGCTGTTAAGCACAAGCTTTACAAAGCCCTGGTAGTGTCATTTCTTACTTGTACGGATGCGAGACTTGGACGCTACTGGCAGTGACAGAGCGGAAAATCCAGGCCTTCGAGATGAAGTGCATGCGGAGGCTACTAGGCATCTCCTACCGTGAACATCAGACAAACAAGCATGTGCGGGAAGTTGTGCGTAGTATCGTCGGCCCAAAGGAACCACTGCTAGCAACAGTCAAGAGACGCAAGCTACAGTGGTTCGGCCAAGTGACGCACCATGACAGCCTGGCAAAGACAATCCTGCAGGGCTACATGAAAAGTACCGTTTTTTCATCTTATATGTTCCCAAAAGCTATATTAAAGTACCGTTTTCGTATCGTATTTGTTTGATAAGAAAAAGAACTTATATATACAGCGCTTTTCTGTCTTGTAAAAAATCAATTTTATTTGTATGGGTAAATGTCGCTCTGTTATACATGCTTCATATTTATCCCACATCTCTTGACGCACGCAAGTACAGAAATTGCGCGTTGTTGTATTTTACGGCATTTCTACAAACATGGATGTTTAATCTTTCTCTATGCCATTGGGTATTATATGTTCCCAAAAGATATACGCAATGTAGCGTTTTTTCAACAAAGATACGGCATGTTTAACCCTTCTCTACGCGTGTTTAAGCGAACGGGGGAAGATCTCACCCCCTTTAGCTTATATGTTCTCAAAAGTTATATAGAATGTAAAGTTTTTCAACAAGCATACGACGTGTTTAATCCTTCTCTACGTGCACTTAAAGTGAACAGGAGAAGACCTCCCGCCATACGTTTCCCAATCTATATGAAAGGCAGGGCCTGATGAACCTTGCTTTGATCTGTTTTGTGACTGTGATGACGTTCTGTATTCAAACTGGCAAATATTGTTTCTCCGTTACATACTACCTACTCAGCGGTGGAATTTCTAGGCGGACAAGCCGGGTGTGAAATTACGAGACCGTTTCTTGTGGGACTAACAGTATCTGTGGTGTGCCGGCAAAATGCGGTGACAAGGCACGGTGTTGTGCAAATGTAAATTTATTCACTGTCAAGCTGTGAACAAACAACCCAGGCATTCCTTATGCAAGATAATTGCCATATGGGGTATCACCTCTGCCATGTGACAGGGCATTATCCAATGACAGACAACAGTGGAATTTTTTAAATCTACCGGATATGCAAGAAGCAAGCATTTTGCGCCGTCTGTTCGAAAGCAAGTACATGACGGAAGATTGGAGCCGTTTCAACCCACAGGCTATGGCCGAGATTCAGTTAATTTTACCACCGGAATCCCGACGGAACGGACGCAAACCCAGGACACACGGCCAGAATGCAGTACAAGTTGATATAATGGATTGGGTGGACATACCTGGAACCAAGCACGGCACAGAAGAGAACATCACGACCGTACAATACTTTTGTTTCGTCCTGACTGGTTATAAAATGGAATACGTTGAACAAGAGCGAGATCTTTCCTTCGCGAGTCATATCCGTGTGTGTTCGTGAAGCGCCAAACCCTCCATCGGCAAAAACCCTCCCCCGGCGGCAAACTACTTCCGCGGCATAACTCTTTTCTTTTTCTATTCAACATCAATCACAAGACGTGGTAATGACAAACTCACGTTTTTTCAACTTATTTTATGCCGCCACCAACGAAGAGGACAAACGCATGAACAGACATGCTCATTTTCACCTGAGCTAAGTGAGGAAAGTCGTGTAAAGTGCCTTTCCCAAGGGCACAAGATAGGTGGCATGGGCAGGGTTCAAACACGGGACCTCTTGGTTCAGGGCCTAACACGCTGCCGCTAGGCCAAGAGACCCCATAACTGAAGTTCTCCATCCTATGTGCGCAAATATACAGTCGAAACAGTGCATACTTTGAAAGCGTGTAATACCAATGGCACATTTTTGCGACGGGAAAGTTTTCCGTCGTAAGTGCGTGGATATACAGTCGACACAGTGTCAAAAATGTGTCATACGATTGACATAGTCTTCGGACGGAAAGGTTCTCAATCATAAGCGCGTGAATATACAGTCTTAACTGTGCATATTTTTAAATTATCTGCACTCTCAAACTGTTGACACAGTTGTCTTTGAAAGTGTATCCTACGAATAACTCAGCTTTCGGAGTGCGTGAATGGACAGTCGAAACATTGCATGCTTTTAAAATACGATTGACACAATTTCCGGAAGGGGAAGTTTTTGTCATAAGTGCGTGCCAGCTATATAAATGAAAAACTCAATATTGTGATCAATATTTCTTTAACGTTGACTTTATTGTCACAAAAAATGTATACAGGGACTTCCCATACATGTCCAGTATCAGGGTGAAATGGCAGAAGTTGTCAGAAGTTAACATCAGCTTACGTCATATGTAACTTCGTGCTTTTCCGTATTTTGACTCTACTGTCGGCCTGCTATCGAACGCATCCGAAGTTGTCCGAAGTTATGTTATGACGTCATCCTAACTTTAGACAGTCTCCTGGGAGGTGGCAGAAGTTGTCGGAAGTTGTCTAAAGTTATGACGTCATACTAACTTTAGACTGTCTCCCGGGAGGTGGCAGAAGTTGTCGGAAGTTGTCCGAAGTTATGACGTCATCTTAACTTTAGACAGTCTCCCGGGAGGTGTCCGAAGTTGTCGGAAGTTGTCTGAAGTTATGTTATGACGTCAACCTAACTTTAAAAACTCACCCGGAGTATCAGGGTGAATGGTATGAAGTTAAAATCAAGTTACGTCACACGGTAAGCGAAATAACTTGGTACGTAGGGCCGTGTGAGTGTACGAAGTTAGGAGTGTCGTGTTTTCACGACAGTTCACTTTGCCTTTGGCACACCATGAAAACCATGATACTATCAATGGTGGATGTGGTTGGCGCTTCTGTTGAAATCAATCTTCTCGTAAAGAGTACTAAGCAAGCGCCGCACTAGTCCCAGATCACGAATATCTACTTGAAAATATATCCATTAACTTGTAACATGACTTCTACGCGCGAAAGGCACGTTTGAGATGTCAACATCTGGCGTCATTTACGTTGTAATTCGAACTGGCCGGTAATTTGAATGTGATTCTATAAGTGTGTCACTTGTAATTCGAACCGTGGAGTGTGTTCTAAACGGTGTCACTTGTAGTTCAAAACATTTACCTGGCGGCAAAACCATGTTGTGGTAATCCCACGACGGCTGCGTTTCTGTCCGAGTCTCTAGACTTTTAAATCGGGAAATTACCGACAATATGTCGTGCAGTAAATCATTCAAAGTGACCGATCAGCATTCGTGTTGGAAAGTGGATTTTTAGTGGAATTACTTCCCAAACGAGTTTGTTCTGGTGGGTTTGCCGTTTTTATCATATTTCAAAATCTTTTACATCATATTAGGCGAAATGTTTGAAATATTTACCTGGCGGTTTGATCATAGTCGCTACTATCGGAGCGGACGTAAACTGACCAGCATAGTAGCCAGTCTATGGATCATCAAGGACAACGTGCGAAGACGTCGTCGGGTAAACTGAACGCAACAAATCTTCAGGTTAATGATAAAGTTACGTCAGTTTTTCATTATGATAATGGTCTTGGTGGTGATCGTCCCCACGTGATGATTGCAGACGCGTTAGGCGCCCCACCAGGAATCAAACTTTTGATAAACAATATCACGGATTCTGAGAAAATATAAAATAATATAAAAAAAAATGTTAGTTCGTCTAACATGACTCCAGCAAAAGCTACAACCTACAATACGTTAATAAACATTTTCAATGTTGCATTTAAATGGAACTTTTTTGCTTTCAATCTTTCCATCTTCGACTTCAGACAACTTTGGACACCTGAAGTGTCGGAAGTTACAGTGACGTCACGTAACTTCAGACAACTTCGGACAACTTCAGACACCTGCCACCCTACCCCACAAGTGTCTTAAGTTACAGTGACGTCACGTAACTTCAGACAACTTCGGACACCTGACACCCTACCCCACAAATGTCGGAAGTTACAGTGACGTCACGTAACTTCAGACAACTTCAGACACCTGCCACCCTACCCCACAAGTGTCGGAAGTTACAGTGACGTCAGACTTTAATCCCGATAACACCCAAAACCACTCGGAAATGGTCGTAACCTCGGACAACTTCAGACAACTTCTGCCACCCTAACTTCTGCCACTTCACCCTGATACTGGACAATACTCGTACATGTGTCATTGGAATGACTCAGCAGTCTAAACAGTGTATACTTTGAAAGGGTGTCATACGAATGACACAGTTTTCGGACGTTCTCCATCATAATTGCGTAAAAATACAGTCTAACAATGTGTATCATAGGTATGACACAGTTTTCGGACGGTAAAGTTCAAGCTCCATCATAATTGCGTGGATATACTGTCAAAACAGTGTATACTTTGAAAGTCAGTTTTCGAACGGTGAAGTTCCCCATCATAATACAGAAAATACAGTCTAACAATGTGTACTTTGTTAGTGTGTCATACGAATGACACAGCCAGCTTTCAGGCGGTAAAGTTTTCCGTCGTAAAGACCAAGGTTGGAATATAAAAGCACCCAATAAAGTCGGGTACTGTAAACTCTCACTGCTCATTCTGCAACTGACAGCCGTGGTGAACACATGGGGAGAGCTAGGCTCAGAAAGTATACCAAGTACACCTCTTCTACACTATGTGGAGACATGGATATGTACATGAAAAGTACATACATGTATCATCTTTTACTAAACAACAAGAATATAGAGTAATAACTACACAGGCAGGTACAATTGCAATCCTGGTAAACTGGGACTTTAGCTAGTCAGCATTTCAGACTTGGATTTTAATATATTGCAAGAAGCCACCAAAAGTGTTTCTACATGTTTCTACATGTATATTTGTTAATAAAGAACTATCAATGGAAATCTAGTTTGGCTGTGGATAGGACACGTGAAATTTGTGATTACAGATATAAGTTTTTGAAACAAACATGGAAGCTTGACAGAGGCTCATCTCTGCTGAAATTGTTCAAATTGGAAACTGTAGGCCCTTGTCTTGTATAACGCCCGCCAAGTGTTGTGACATGGATGGTGCTTAAGTTTGCTGCAACTGTCATTTTTCCTTGTATGGCAATGTTTTTTCAACTAGCGGAG